CACGCGTTACGTAGCCTCGTCTGAAGTAATCACGCGTTACGTAGCCTCGTCTGAAGTAATCACGCGTTGCATAGCCTCGTCTGAAGTAATCACGCGTTACGTAGCCTCGTCTGAAGTAATCACGCGTTACGTAGCCTCGTCTGAAGTAATCACGCGTTGCATAGCCTCGTCTGATGTAATCACGCGTTGCGTAGCCTTGTCTGACATAATCACGCATTGCGTAGCCTCATTTATTCACATCAAACAGTCAAGAGGGAAACTAGATGGAAACAGTCTAGATTCTAATTTTTATTTATTTAATTTTTTGCGAGTTTTGAAAAGTTCGATAAAAATTTACTCTACAACTGGATGGAAACACGATGATTGCTAGCTGCGTTATTGTCATGTTGTGTACCAAGTCTTGAGGGACAGGAGGGCTGACCTCAAAACTACAGAAGCCCCAAAGAGTGCACTGGTGGGAAAAAAAAATCTAGATTTTCCCCAAATTAAATCTTTATAAATGGCAAATTCGATTTAATCAATTAAAACAGTTTATCGCTCAGCCCTAGTTTACACTATATTAGCAATGAAGCTACAAACCAGACACACTAAATGATGAGACTAAAGAGTTTTTTAATCCCTGGTTGTTRTGAATTTGATGAGTATCGTGTTTAAAGAACAAACCTAAACACTGGTTGTGCCAGTCTTGTGGGGACCTGGCGGTGAGTCTACAGAACCCAAGTGTTCTTCAACTGAAAGTCACAATCTGATGGTGGGACATTGTCCTTCAGGATTTTCTGTTAGAGACCAAGCAGCAGATCATCACACTACCACCTCCATGAGCAGGCCTGTCACAATAACAACATTTGACACAAGTTAGTTTGATTTGAAATGTGTAAGTTTGATACAGAAGGAACATCTTTAAGGGATCAAATACTTTTCCACAGCTCTGTATATAAAAGATGCTCTAATTAAAACAGACTTCTTTAAACTTGTCAGTAAACATGGCTTCAGATGAACACATCCATTACTGACTGTGTAAAGTGTTGATTGACAGCTGTGTATTTAGCTCTACTCTGGTTGTTGTCCTGACTCCACCTCTCGTCTTCTCCTGTTGTCCTGGGTCCTGACTCACCTCCCGTCCTCTCCTGCAGTGGAGGAGTCTGATATCATTGACTTGGAGAAGCGCTACTGGCTGCTGAAAGCTCAGTCCAGAACTGGCCGTTTTGACTTGGAAACCTTCGTCCCGCTGGTCTCCCCTCCCATCCACGCCTCACTGAGTGAAGGTAATTCCCCCAGTTTTCACCCAGGTTTATTTCAGACACCTTAAAGTGCCTGTGACTTGCATATCCTTCAAATACAAAAAGTCAAAGAAAACGTCTTTATGTTTAAGAAACCTTGCATAAAACACATGGTTTTACCCATTTTGTCACATAACTGGCATGTTTTCTTTTGAGTTTGGCTCAGCCAAAATGAAACAGGAAGTGACATCAAAGGGGAACTCTTTAAGATGGGAAACTCTCTGGGTTTTGTTTATTAAAACGATATTATTTGAACTCTCACTTTTCTTCATTTCTCTGATAGTGACTCAAAATAATCTAAAGAAACATCAGATTCYTCTCTACAATCTGTGTTGTTAGCTGTTGTARCAACGCTCTGTTTACATGCAGACATTCCCCTTTGACATCACTTCCTGTTACTTCACTTGCAAATATTTCAACAACCGTTCATCTCAGCAGTTTAAAATATTTTTTGCAATATGTTATCAATTTTATCTTTCCAAAAATGCATTCATAATTATTAGAAAAATTTGATGTCACAGGCACTTTAACAATGTCTGGCTCACATTGAATCATTGAGATCTTGATCCTGAACATTAAATAAACACATAATACTGAAAGAGTTAGTCTTCAAACTTTCATAGTTTTATTTGACATCACTGTGAATTTATCAACACAAAACAAATTACATGAATTTCTGGGGTTATTTACAGGCACAAACTGCAGCTGTTAGCTGGGCTCAGTTTAAACTAAAAAAATGACTTTAAATGTCAAATTGAACGTGATGTAAATGTTGGTGTTAAGATAGTGGTGAGGTCGTATTGATGAGCAAATRATGCAGACCCATGTTAAAACAGTTTCATAGTGATAAATTGAAACACTGTTATTTAAACCTTTGCATTTTGATTTCTTTTTTATTTTAGCAGAAATATTTGGTTTTAGTTATATTCAGGTCTAAAGACTACACTAATAACACAACGCTCATTTTTTTTGTTTAGCTCTGATGAAGGACTATCAAGAAACAGGCTCTGTTCCTCACTGAAGATAAAGTGTCTGCATGTGTATAAAAATATTCTTTATAGAATAAATGTGAGCCATCATATCAAAATGAGGATTAAGTCAAATTTGTAATGTTGAGAAATAAGCAGATATAGGGTTTTGATTTAAACGTTTGCAAAAATTGCATTTTGTCTAAATATAATGAATTAATGCCTTATCAATGTATCATTTGAATGAACTGTCTTTATATTCCTAAAAATAAAT